AAACCATATCAATTGGCGATTTCAGTGTGCTTGAGTAAGCACAGCCTGGCCGTCTTTTTTACCTTGAGCCTGCTATTTGCAGGCTCTACTTTTGCTCAGGATCACCTGAGCGCTAAAGAGCGTCAGGCGTTTAATGAGGCCTACTTTGAAGCCCAGGCACTAAAAACCAAGGGCGACTATGAAAAGGCTGGCGAATTGTTTAAGGAGCTGTATAAGAGCAGCCCTTCAAACGCTGCCGTTAATTTTGAACTGGCGCAGTATTACACCGAAACAGACAATCGGGAGAGCGCTATTTTTCATGCCGAGCGCGCGGTTGAACTGGAGCCAGCCAATCAGTGGTACGCCTACTTATTGGCCAATATCTACGGTCAGTTCAACCGGCCGGGCAAACAGGTGGAGGTGTATCAAAACCTGTTGGAACACGATGAGAGCAGCAACGAATACCGCCTGGAGTTGGCCCAGGCATATTTGGCCAACAACCAGCCGCAAAAAGCCCTGGAGCAATTCAATAAAATGGAGGAGCAAATGGGCGTCAATGAATTTATTTCTGAGCAGAAAAAAACCATTTATTTAGACCTGGGCGATCTTGATGCGGCCACCAGGGAAATACGCAAACTGATTGAGGCTTACCCCAATACCATGGAGTACTACGGTACGCTGGGCCAATTGTATTCCGTTAATGGCTTTGAAGAGGAAGCCTTTGAAGTGTACCAGGAAATGTTGGAGGTTGATAGCACCGACCCCAGGCCCCACCTTGATTTGGCCAATTATTACCGCGGTCAAAACAATTTTAAGAAATCATTGCACCACTTAAAATATGCCATGGAAAGCGACCTGCTTGAAATGGAAAAGAAAATTCCCGTTTTGTTGTCGCTATTCAACGCCTCTGCCAATGATTCTGTATTGCGAGAAGAGTCATACGCAATTATGAACACCATACTCAAAGAAGAGGATGAGGTGGAAGACCCGCGCATATTTGCCATGTACGGTGATTTTTTGAGCCGCGATGGACGCGATTTGGAGGCCATTACCTACTACAAAAAAGCACTGGGCAAAGAGGGCGGCCAAAAGTTTCAGATTTGGGAGCAGGTGTTGCTCATTGAGGTGCAAAATGAAATGTACGACAGCCTGGCTATTGATGCTCCTCAAGCCGTGGAGGCTTTTCCCAACCAACCACTGCCTTATTTTTTTGCGGGCCTGGGCTTTGCGCAGCAAGAAGAATATGACGAAGCGGTTTATTATCTGGAAGACGGTTTGAACTACGTGTTGGGCCAACCGGCTTTAAAGGAGCAATTTTATTTGCAGCTGGCGGATGTGCACCATCGCCTGAAAAACCACCAACAAAGCGATGGCTATTTTGAAAAGGCGCTGGCCATTAACATCCAAAATGCCACCACCTTGAATAACTATGCCTATTACCTGGCGGTACGCGGAGAAAACTTAGATCGTGCCTTGGAGATGTCGGAAAAGAGCAACAGGCTTAGTCCTGACAACCCCACGTTTTTAGATACCTGGGCTTGGGTGCACTTTAAGCGCCAGGAGTACCAAAAGGCCGAAGAGAAAATGGAGAAAGTATTTAGCTTGCAA